CAACAAATATTGGCAATGGATAAACTTGTGATGCTTTAATTAGGCCTTTGGATGTTAATAATAAAATTAAATATAATTATTGGTTAAATATTATAATTAATTTTGCTGATGGCACCGACAAAAAGAAATATAAAAATATAAAAAAATTAAAAACATAACTTTCCAAAGGTCTTTTGAGAAAAGCACCTTTTACACTAATTAACCTTTTAGTTTTAATTTAATAATATTGAGACCATATTTGAACAGAATCGAATGATATTACATGCGTCAGCCAACTTTCTTACACTAATTAAATTCAAGAATAATTTTTTTTCTAATTTATTTAATAAACTACTACACAATACGACAATATTCTTTTTTAATTCTTTTTATTAGAGAATTTTATTGTTTCTAATAAAAATATACTTATTTTTCATTCAAAATATTATATTCAACCATTATTTCACTTTTAAAAAATAAATAAATGAACTAAAAACCTACCAAACACCCAAAAAAACCATACAGGTTTAGAAGTCGACCATTAAATCAATAATATATGTTGTATCATAACGTAATAAAAATGCAATACATGAACAATTCAAACAATTAATATCACAATTGATTTTAGTATAAAATATATATTAATACAACAAATACGATGAACTGACGGCATATAATATTAATCTAAACCGCAGATATTGATTTATTTCGAATTATATGGTAAGAAATATTTGTTTATGTGTTAATAAAAGCTAATCAGAATAGCATTAATATTATATTCTCTCACATTTACCTTTTGCGTCATTGTACTTAACATTAAAAATATTACTTATTAGTATAATTTTTTGTAGAAATGTTATTTTATTAATATTATAAGACACTAATAGAAGTATTTTTGTAATTTTTTTATTAATTTGTACTACGTTTTGATTTGATGTAATAATTAATATTCAAATATCAACACGTAAAAAATAAATGAAACTCTTAGAGCCCGACGGAGATAGTATGTTTGTATGTGATATCACCTAATTTATTAAATAAAATAAATAATTTATAAATTGAACATATATATGACTTCATAATTTTTTTTTTTTAGCTTCAAATATTTGGTCATTTTATTCACCCTTTTCCTACCCACTTTAGAATAGTTCATTTCCCTTATCCAAATTAACGGCTCCATTATTTTATTTTCTTAAGTTTTTGAAATGTGTGACTCAATATACTTAATTATATAATTCAACAGATATTTACAACATAATTTTAACCAAAATTGAGCCTATAATATATAATTATATATTCGTCACCCCTAATAAATAAAAAATTCTACTAATTGCTTAATTAATTAATTAATTAATAGATGAATAATGGTGGGCTACACATGCATGCATATTGAGTGATAAATATTGATTGATTCAAAATCTTATAAATATATTATTAATTATTAATTTTTCAAATTCCTAATTGTTTGCATTTCATATTTAATATTTCTTTTAAGGCATGCCTCCCATAAGCAAATATATTTATATAATAATAATAAATTCATGTACTACTGTTAATTAAAAAACCCACAGTAAGAACAAAAATGATGTAACAATGTGCTGGTATGTATAACTTTGCATGTAAGAAACACACACTAATATTTATTTTATTTTATGCTATAATTAATTAATTAATTAATATAATTAAAAATAGTGATGCATGCATCCACCCTCTTCCCTGTTTATTGCTTTTTACTGTTTTCTCCAAACTCCAAGGGTTTGAACAAATCAGCATTTCCCTACTTGGAATATTTCTTTTTTAGAATAATTTTTAAAAAGAAATTAAAAAAAATAATAATAATTTGTGTGGCTGAATTGAATTTTAGGGTTAGGTCATTCCACTTTGTTGTTGCATGCTATGCTCATATTAATTTTTTAAAAAAAAATAAATAAATAAATCATGGCGAGGAATTTTTTAGTCATTATTTTTCAAGTGTATTTTGGATAAATTACTGATTGAATTTAATAGTTTACAAATTAAGTTACCAAAATAAGTCATATTAAATGAATCATGTGTAACAAGTAAGATTTGAAGATGTCAGAATTTATAATAATAATTATCATTATTATTATTATTATTATTATAAAATTGTGCATCACATTAAAGCCCCTTTCATGAAATTTCTAAATTGGAAAAAGGCAAAGTGTGTGTGTATATATATATATACATATTCTTAGGCAAACAAACAGCAGACAGACAGAAAGAATTCAGTTTAGTGGGGGATGATTTCATCAATTAGGGTTTCTTTTCTTAAAGGGCTAATAGGATATTTTGCAACTTTTAATGAATTACAACATTTACTAACTATTTTAATCTAATGTATATATATATATATAATAAAATGTAATAGTTTCATTATGTGTGTGTAATGTTGATTTTTTATTATTATTATTTTTTTTTTATGACGTGGGAATCCGCTGTTGCGGACGGTGTAATATAATATTGATTTTTGAATTTTCAAGTTGTTGCTCAAATGAAAATTGTTTAACTATGTGAAGGTTATGTTGGATAAGATATTTCATATATGTATTTTTTTAATAATATAATGTTGATATTTTAGAATAATTATTCTCTCTATGTGTATATATATGGCGGGGGCTACAGTGCTGAACATAAAATTCAGCATTGTGTTAGAATAACATACAGTATTACTACAGACGGTTTACAGTATACGTTAATATAATACAAATACAATACATGAATTAACAACATATGATATAGTCTCACACAGTTAATACAATGATTTTAACGCATGACATATTCTTATTCAACACATAGAGTAATTATGAACAAATAACGCATACTTTTGTAATAAAGGTATATGATGTTTCTTTATTTTATTGGTATATTATACTACCTCCGTCTTATATCTATCTATCCATTTACTTTTTGCACGGAGTTTTAGGAATATTAATATTATATTGAGATATAGTAGAAATAAAAGTAAAATGACTAAATTAACTATATTAGTGTTGTATGATATAAAGTAATGAGATTTATATAATATATTGTAAATTGGAAGAATATTTGTAATATTAGGTAGATAGTACAATTAATAAAAAAGAAAATTGATAGATTGTTAAAAGACGGACCAAAATAAAATAAAATAATAAATAGATTATTAAGGGACGTAAGGAGTATATGATTTAAAGAATTTCCTATTTAACTTAATGGTTTGTAACTTATACTCCCTCCATCCCAAAAGAATTGTCTTGTTTTTTCATTTTCGTCCGTCCGTCCCCACTTTATAACGAAATTATTCATACTTTTTCAAACTACCCCTAATTATTACTCTAACTTTTTAAAATTTTTCAAAAAGTAAGGGCATTTTAGTCTTTTACATTCTACTTTATACCCACTTTCAATTAAATACTACTCCCTCCGTCCCGATACAATAGTTTTGTTTACCATTTTTGTCCGTCCCAAAACAATAGTTTTGTTTCTATAAATAACCATATAACCACAAAACTACCTCTACTTTTTTATTTTTATTACATAATTGTCATTATTTTTTACACTAATACATTCACAAAGCAAAAAAGTCTTTTATCCATACTTTTTACCAACTAACAATATAATATCAATATTCCTTAAATCTCATGGTCAACCCAATTAAGACTATATTTATGGGACGAAGAGAGTATTATTCATTAATTCTCGTGCCAACATCCAATGACACGTCTTTTTTGGAACGGAGAGAATATATATTTCCAATTGAATAATAAGAGTTTTTATTCAATAGGCATTTTGAAAATTGCATGTAAAAAACAAAGCCCAAGAATCTATTGTTTATTTAAATTTTAAAATAATCAGAAACACGAATGAAACAAACCCAATTTGGTGATGAGGTGTAAATGGATTTTGACTCACAAGACATACGCATTAAATTAAATTAAATGAATAAATAAAAATAATTGTGGATTCTAAATATGAAGTCAAAAATTAGGGAAATGTAAAGAGTCACTATCCACTACAAATTATTGATGGGAATTATTTATTTATTTATTTATTTATAATTCTTAGACAAGTGAAAAGCAATTTTGTCCACCTGACATTATAATCTATCAGTGTCGATTCAAGTCAATTTCATCCGTTGGATCAAAAATAAACATAATTTGAACGGTCTTGATCGATGCAGAGTAGTAACGTCATCTTATTATTATTATTATTATTATTATTATTGTTATTCACAAACAAATTAAAATACATTTTATGTTTTATGTAATGGCATTTTAACCTAAATAGACTGAACTACGTGCATGTGTGTGTACACGTGGAATATATAGACATATATATAAAGAAATTTTATGTCCGTACACTGATAACCCAACTCTCAGATGCAATATTTAAGATAGTAAAATTTAGTAATTTATGATATTAGTTTATTTAATTTTATATAAATAGTAATATTTATATTTTTAAATCAAAATTTTCCAGTTTTTTTTTTTTGAAAAATAATTCTTAATTAAATATTAAATTATTTTTTTATTTTTCATATTATTTTTCAAAATTAAAGTAGATATTAAATTATTTATTATATTAAATATTTATAAAATAATAATTTATTTTAATTTGTATACAAAAATGAAAAAATTTATCAATTGATAGAGGGAGTACAACCAATTAATTTATTTATTTTAGATGCGCACAGATTTTTAGATATTATGTAATTAATAGATAATTAAAAAGTATATTAATAAAAATATTTATAAAATAATAAAAATAATTATAGATTAACATCAAAATGACTCAATAGTTTAATTAAAATAAAAAAAAATTATAAATTATAAATATTATTAAAATATATAATTATATTTCTAAAAGACGAAAATATTATTTTATTTCAATTAAATGGTGGTGCAAAAAGCATGTCTTTTACCCAAAGCCACCCCTCTACCCCACACCACCCCACCCCACCCCACCAGCCCCTACAAAACCCCCCCTCCCCCGCTCTTCCATTCCTCAGTCCTCTCACTCTACTTTCATACTCTAAATCCAGACAACAATAACACTAATCTCCACCATGTCAACCATAGTCTGCCACCACCAAAATTGGATCTCCAATTGCTTCGAAACCACCACCCTAAAGCTCACCCTCACCATCACTTTCAACAATAATTCCGACGTCCGTACAATTTCCGACCACGTCGGAAACTGGGGTTTCATCCAAACACAAACCTCCGATCACTGTAATAACTATAATAAAATCAAGGAAACCTACCCTCCCAAACCGGGACCCCGGCTCACCGCCAGGTCCCTGGACCTCTGCACCGAGAATTTGGGCAGCGAAACGGGCACCGACGACGTCCGTCACTCGTCGACGTTGTTCAGCTCCGGCGAGATCTCCACCACCACTACGACGTCGTTTCACGAACTCCACAACATTAATGCTACCGATTTTTCTGCTAGGCTTAATAATACCTACCGTCGCCGGAAAGACGAGAACTGCTCCATTAAAACCGGCGGCCTCCCGCCGCCGCTCACGACGATGATGGGGTCTAACTCTCTGCAACTGCGCCGCCGCATAGAAGACGGCGGCAGGCTCGTTATTCAGGCGGTGGAGACGCCGTTCCGTAATTCGTACCTGGAGGCGGAGAGGAGCGACGGCAGACTCAGGCTGCGCTACTTTACGCCGCCGCCGACGCCGGAGCCGCCGTCCTTCGCCGCCGCCGGAGAAGGAGAAGACGGAGAAGAAGATGATGCTGATGCTGATGACGATGATGAATGCGGCGGCGAAACAGCGGCGGCGCTGGAAATTGAGGGCGGCGGAAACGAAACGGAATCGGAAAATTGCAATTTGGAGAAATTCCGGCAGCGGCTGAGCGTCCGGTGCAAGGAAGGCAGCCATTGCTGGAAGGCTGCAGCTCTTTGGGTCGCCACTTCCTAATTTATTTTTAATTAATTAATCTGAGACTTTTTTTTTTATTTATCTAATTTTTGAATTTTTGATGTAATTTTTTTTTTAAATATGGGTCGGGTTGTGATTTTGGATAATTACTGTTGGACATGGATCGGCATGTTTTTACCCTCCCAAATTTGAAATTTTAGCTAATATTTAATGTATATGTTGATTTTTTTTTTCGTTTTTTATTTATTATTTATAATTAATTATTCAATTAATATGGTATTTGTATTAGAGAGTGAAGGAAATTGTGATATCTATTTTAGCATGCGTCAGCACATAATAAATATTTTGAATGTATATAATTTACAATAAAAATTAATTACGAAATAAATATATATATATATATATATAAAAGAATAATAAGCATGGTTGACCGTTGCATGACTCATACATTGATTCCCTGATAATTTAGTTCATGTGTATATAAAAATAAAAGAAAAAAACTAAAATAAGGGTAAATGATAAACACAATAAATTAACCTTCAGCCTATTAATAAAATTAACAACTTAGATAGTGGAGTTATCATTAATATATATTTAATTTTATTGATTTCTAAATAACTTAGTTATAGTTACTGACACGTATCTAATAACCAACTCTTTCTTAGTTTTTCAATAGTCAAGATACGTCTAACTGCTTCTCTAATTAGACTAGAACCCTAGTGACCCCACAAAAAATTTACTAGACTAACTATTTTTCGAATTAGAAAGTCTAATACAATATAACAATTACTTTTGCGGAGCTGTTTAAAATTGATTCTGTGATTTACTAATGATATCTGCCCCTAGTTGATACTTGAATCAAATTAAATACAGTTACGAACGCCCAATTTAGTTTAGCAATTAATCTTAATCTAATTAAAATATATGGCCACAATACCCAACCAAATCAAATGTTATTAAACATTAAAATCAAAAATCATAGAAATACTTAACAACAAAAAAATAATATAAATCAAAACATAGTCTAATCACACAAATTCATACAAAGTTGTTTATTTCACTCTTAAATTAGGAAAGTAGTCTACTCGCTAATCATGGGAAGAAGAACAAAGATAATAAAGAAAAACATCATCTATGATTGATCATACTGACGTTGAGGAACTCGAAATCTCTTTGGAAAAATCTTTCTTCTTTTTGCCCTTGCACGATTTCTCCCTCAGACTGTTCTGCACTATGTTCTTCTCCTGGGATGAAAAGTGACGCCTCCCCCATCGATTTTCTTTTATAATTGTCCTAATTTTGTAACCATTGGACTTTTGGGCCTTTTCATTAATTTTTCAAGTCATTTGGCATTTTTGTTCTCTTTTCCCTCCAATTCTACCAATTTTATTATTTTTCTTCTGTAAATCATAAATAAACAATATATACACAAATCAGCTAAAATCCAATCAAAATTAACCAAATATCGCAAATATTATGAAAATTTAATGCATGTGATTTCTGACTATCACAAAGAGCATGTTAATGTTGTTGCTGAAAATCAACATTCCTTATAAAGTCTTTCTAGTGTTTTCGAAGTTTCTGAAAAGGAACCTCAGATCGAGTAGGATGCTGATACTGGACTCGATGGAAATGAGGATGCCATTGTTCCCGTTACTAGTGAATCAACCGATGCTGCTATTGAATATGTTGGTAGTGGTGAAAATGAGGTTACTATTGCAACTATCTTCCAATAAACAAATGAAAGAACTTTGCTTGAAGGAACAGAGACAGTGGAAACTATTGCACTGACCGAAGAAGCTGTTCCTCCAACCGAAATCCTTGGCGATTAAAATCGAGGTATGGAAGTTAATATAAATCAATCTTCTTCTCATGAAAATGAAGAGGAGGAAAGAGCTGGAAATCAATCTGGAGTCATTGTTGCTGAGGGAAATGTTGAGATGGAACAGGATGTTCCTACCCTTGCTGATGTTGTTATGTCTGAATCTCAGCAAGTGGAATTGATATCGTCAAATTCTAATGATGACAACTTACCGGTGGTTCCTCTTGCCAAACGGAAGGATGTTGCTACTGTTACAAAGTTCTTTCGACCTCTAAAGAAGAATAGGAAGAAAAGAAAATCCAAAGTGAAATGAAAGTCCAAAAAAAGAAAGTCTAGAAAGAATGTCGATGTTCCTCTATTGATTACTTCAGAATGCAATGGATGATATATACTTTGATGATGAAGTCGAAAATTATGAGTAGGATGATCCGAATTTGAAGAGTTTTATTGCTTAAGTGATGTTCAATAGCCCGACACACACTGATGTTGAGGGGGATTTTTTCGAAGTGGCCTTTGTCCCGTAAGTACTCTATAAACCCGATGGAGATTTTTGAAGTGGTCTTTCTCTCATAAGTACTCTGTAATAACTCAACATTAGTGTATGTCAGGCTGTTGAAAATCACTTCAGCAATGAAACTCTTCAAATCTAGATCGTTGTATGCATCGTCATCAAAGTATGTATCATTCATGGCACTCTCTGGAGTAATAAATCGGGGTACATCGACATTCTTTCTAAACTTTCTTTTCTTGGACTTTTTTTCACTTTGGATAAATTTTTCTTCCTTTTCTTCTTTGGAGGTTAGGAGGATTCTGTAACAGTAGTAACAACCCTCCATTTGGCAAGGGGAACCACCGGCACATTGTCATCATCAGAATTTGACGACATCACTTCCAGGTATTGAGATTCAGGCATAACAACATCATCAAGGCAAGAACATCTTGTTCAATCTCAACATTTCCCTCCAAAGCAATGAATCCATATCGATTTCCAATAGGGCATTCTAAATCTCCATCGTTTTCCTCCTCTTCACTGTCATGATAAGAAGATTGATTTAAATCAATTCCCATAGCTAGATTTTCATCACCAAGGGTTTCGGTTAAAGGAACAATTTCTCCGGTTAGTGCAATATTTTCCACTGTCTCTGTTCCATCAAGCACACTTCTTTCATTTGTTTATTGGAGGACGATTGCAGCAGTAACCTTATTTTCACCACCAAAAATATTTTCAATAACAGCACCGGTTGATTCACCAATAATGGGAACAAGGGCATCCTCGTTGCTATCGAATACAGTAGCAGCATCCTCCTCGATCTGAGATTCATTTTCAGAAACTTCAAAAATACTAAACGGACTTTCCAAGGAAGGTTGATTTCCAGCAACAACATCAACATGCTCTTTGTGTTGTTCTTCGGTCATCGGGTACCATCATAAAGGATAATAGGTCTGCGAAGGTTACCGAGATCTGGTGAAGGACTTGAAATAACTGCTTCTCCTCGAACGTCCTCTTCCCCTCTCACGTCCACGGCCCCTTCCACCACGAGCATCACCACCAAAATGTGAGCGAGCCATTTCATATTTATTTTCACAAAATAACTTACAAATGGAGATAATATGTGAGTGAAATACAACACCATCCTAACACGGTATAAATAAACGAGTAAAAACAAAAAGAAAGTTACATTTTTCAAATTAAAAATACAGCATCCTAACACGGTATAAATAAACGAGTAAAAACAAAAAAAAAAATTACCGTTTTCAAATTCAAAATTTGAATTTCCACCAATTCTCCAAACAACAATGATGTCTACTGCCGTAACTACATCTTTCTGAAACACCGAACTTAACAACTCACAGTCAAATCAAATCTTCTCAAATAAGTCAATTTCCCACAATATTCATTTCTCAATTTTTTTGAAATTTTTAGAATATTCAATTTTTTTTAAGTGTTACATTTTAATTTATTACCATAACACAAATGTTAATCATGATAAAATTAATTTGTAATTATATATAATTGGAAATTATTGAACGACAAATTAAGCACGTACGTGTCGACCCAATCCTCAAAGTTTGGAACTTTATTTTTAAGTGTGATATTTGTCGGGCATTTCTGTCAATTTTATTATGCATAAATGTTACGTAAAACGCCCAACTTTTCATGCCAAACTAATAAATTAAATAATTATTGTCTTATATAATTGAGGTAATAATCATCACTTTATGGATTTAAATAAAAATAAAATACTCTTACTTATTATGCAAATATATATTTATTTATTTATTTATCCACGTGGCATTGAACACGTGGGAAATTAGTTTAAAAAAGAGAGTCCACTTCCCGTCAATGCTTCTTTAATGTAATTTTGGGATTTTATATAAGCAAATAATATTTATTTTAATAATTTTATAATTAATTAATTAAGAGCCAATTATTATTACATTATTGGATGGTTGATTTGTACAGAAACCCTTCAAAGTTTTTTGTCCTTTTTTAAAATGTCTTTTTGCCAAATAATTCCCATCCCACATTTATTTATTTTATTTTATTGTTTTAATTTTTATTTTTTCCATCGAAATACTAAAGGAAGTTTGGGAAAGAACTTTCTGAAGAGTTTTTAATTTATTGAACAACTTATAGTTGTTTGATCAGTAAAAAAGTTAATTTAGGTGTTTGGTAAATTAGCTTTTTGAAAGAACTTTTTAGATCCAAAAAACTAATTTCAGAACTTTTTTATTTTAATTTTGGTTATTCATATTTACCCTTAAAACTTAATTATTTATTTTATACATATAAATATATTTTTATAGCAGTATTTATTAATTATTTTTAATATATTTAATATATTAATTTTTTTTTTTTGTAAATTTAAAATAATTACTATTATTAATTATTATATATAAATTATTTTAGTTGTAAATATATAAATTTTTAAAACTAAATCAAATAGAAAAAACAAAGGTTATTAATTTATTTATATATATTAAAACAATAATTAACATAATAAAAATATATATACGAAAGATTTATTATTTTATATTTTACATAATTTCAATAAAAAATTATTATTTTTTAGTAAAAATAATTTTCTCAGATTTAAATAATAAAAATAAAAATATATATTTTATAATATTTTTATAATTTTCAATAATTAATAACAAAAATTCTCATAAATTTCAAACTAAAATGAACAAAATTAAATATTTTAAAAAATAACATATCAATGTCTTTGATAGTCATTTTATGTATAAACAGCTAATTGCCAAACACATTAATGCAAACCGCTAATTGAATTAGCTAGTCAAACCATCTAATCAAATCAGCTAACAGCTAACCGCTAATTGAATCAGCTAATTGT